ATGGGGCTGATCCAGGGGGGCAGGGAGGAGGCGGGACGCTGGGGTAGATGGGCCCCTGGGGCTGGTCCAAGGAAGTGGGATACCGGGGTAGATGGGCCTCTGTGCCCCCCCAAACCGGCCTCCTGCCCTGCCACCCTCCCACCGACAAGCTCCCCAGCAAACGGGGCAGCCAGGATCCCTGCCCCCCCCCACCCAGAGCATACTGCTTCCCTCCCCCTGCCGCAGGTGGTGGAGGACTCCACGCCCCGGACCCCCCTGATCTTCGTGCTGTCCCCCGGCGTGGACCCCACCTCCTCGCTGCTGCAGCTGGCTGACCAGTCGGGCATGGCCCAGCGCTTCCACGCCCTGTCGCTGGGGCAGGGCCAGGCCCCCATCGCCACCCGCATGATCCAGGAGGGGGTCCGGGACGGTGAGTGTGTCATAGCCCCTCTACTGCCAGCAGCGCCAGGGGATCCTTGCCTCACCCTGGCGTTACGGGTGGGCAGCGCCCCAGGAGCCTCTGCTGCCATCCGACCCACAGATCCGCACACTCCCCACCGCCTCACATGCACAAATCCCCCATTGCATGTGCTCCCCGCCAACCCCAGAGCCTCCCACAGCAGAGCTCGCGCTGGGGCCCCGGCCTGATGCCAGGGGTTGCTGAAGAACCAGGGGACTCCCTGCCCGAGGCTCTGTCAGGCCCTGATGGTCTGTCTCGTTCGCTGGCCCTCATGCCACGCGGCATCCTGTGCCCCCAGGGCTGGGGCTGAGGGGCAGCGGGCACAGGGATGGGGGCCCAGCCAGGGGATCCAAGCCAGACCCCAGAGAAAGATCAGCCCACTAGGATCTGTGCCTGACCCAGGACAACCCTGCCGGACGGGAGGCCATATCTCCAGTACAGCTGGGGTTGGGGGCCGGGGGACCCATGGGTGGGATCCGGGGAGGGGCTAGGCCTGGTCGGCGGGGACTAATTGGGTAGGATCTGGGGGTGGGATCCAGGGAGGGGCTGGGCCTGGCCAGGAGTCACAGGGATGGGATCCGGGGAGGCTCGGGGCCCTGCCAGCCGGGGGACCTGTGGGTGGGATCGGGGAGGGGCTGGGCCTGGCCGGCCGGTGGACCCATGGGTGGGATCTATGGGTGGGATCGGGGAGGGACTGGGCCTGGCCGGCCGGTGGACCCATGGGTGGGATCTGTGGGTGGGATCGGTGAGGGACCTGGGCCCGGCCGGCCGGTGGACCCATGGGTGGGATCTGTGGGTGGGATCGGCGAGGGACTGGGCCCGGCCGGCCGGTGGACCCATGGGTGGGATCTGTGGGTGGGATCGGGGAGGGGCTGGGCCCAGCTGGCTGACCAGCTGTGGGATCCGGGGAGGGGCTGGGCCCGGCCGGCCAGTGGACCCATGGGTGGGATCCGTGGGTGGGATCGGGGAGGGGCTGGGCCCGGCCGGCGCGGACCCCAGCGTCCTGGAGGCCCACTCGTCTCTCCCCTGTGCTCGCCGACAGGGAACTGGGTGTTCCTGGCCAACTGCCACCTCTCGCTGTCCTGGATGCCGCAGCTGGACAAGCTGGTGGAGCAGCTGCAGGTGGAGGAGCCGCACCCGGCCTTCCGCCTCTGGCTCAGCTCCAGCCCCCACCCCGACTTCCCCATCTCCATCCTGCAGGCCAGCATCAAGATGACCACGGAGCCTCCCACGGTGAGAGGGGCACCCGCCCCGCCCTGTGCCAGCCGTGCCCGAGCCCTGCGTCCCAGCCGGGCAGGGGCAGGCTGGTGCCCGCGCTGAGCCCCTCCCCCTCTCCCTGGCAGGGTCTCAAGGCCAACATGAAGCGCCTGTACCAGCTGGTGACGGAGCCACAGTTCGGGCGCTGCACCAAGCCGGCCAAGTACAAGAAGCTGCTGTTCGCCCTCTGCTTCTTCCACAGCGTCCTGCTGGAGCGCAAGAAATTCCTGCAGCTCGGCTGGAACGTGGTGTATGGCTTCAATGACTCCGACTTCGAGGTGGGCGGGACACCGGGGGTGGGGGGGTGACGGGCGGGGCCAAACCCTACAGGAACAACCCCCCGCCAGAGCCGATAATCACCCCCAGAGCCAACGGTAACAACCCCCTGGCACCACCCCCACTCCCCGAGCCAACAGTAACAACCCCGCAGCACCACCATCACCGGAGCCAACAGTAACAACCCCCCAGCACCCCCAGAGCCAACTGTAACAACCCCCTGGCATCCCCAGAGCTAACGGTAACCCCACTCCGGCACCACCACCCCCAGAGCCAACGATAACCACCCCTCTGCATCGCCAGAGCCGATAATCACCCCCAGAGCCAACTGTAACAACCCCCTGCCACCGCCAGAGCCGATAATCACCCCCAGAGCCAACTGTAACAACCCCCCGCCACCGCCAGAGCCACGGTAACAACCCCTGGCACCCACAGAGCCAACGGTAACCACCCCCCGGCACCACCCCCACTCCCCGAGCCAACAGTAACAACCCCGCAGCACCACCATCACCGGAGCCAACAGTAACAACCCCCCAGCACCCCCAGAGCCAACTGTAACAACCCCCCGCCACCGCCAGAGCCACGGTATCAACCCCCGGAACCCGCAGAGCCAACGGTAACTACCCCCCGGCACCCCCAGAGCCAATGGTAACAACCCCCTGGCACCCCCAGAGCCAACAGTAACAACCCCCCGGCACCTCCAGAGCCAACGGTAACTACCCCCCGGCACCACCACCACAGGAGCCAACGATAACCACCCTCCTGGCACCCCCAGAGCCAACGGTAGCAACCCACCAACACCGCCAGAGCCAATGATAACAAGCCACTCCGACCCCCAGACCTTACAACAACAACCTTCCCCCCCAGTGTATTCCCCGGTCAGACCCTACAACAAACCCCCCCGGGAGTTTGCCCCGTCAGACCCTACGATAACAACCCACCACCACCACCACCCACAGACCCTAAAACAACAAACCCCTGTGTGTTCCCCCATCAGACCCTATAACAACAAACCCCCAGGTGTTCCCCTATCAGACCCTACAATAACAAGCCTGGCTTCATGAGACCCTACAGTAACAAACCAGCCCACATACTTCTCTGGGAACCTACAATAACAACCCCCCTCCCCTCACAAGACCCTGGGACCCCCACGAGAGCCAGGCAGCTCATGCCCCAGGGCCCCCAGAAGGCCCCAGGGCTCCCTGCGAGGCGCTCTGCTGAACTTGGCAATAGCAGCCCCTGGTGCCCACCCGAGCGGACGCCACGGGCCCTGTGGCATTGGCGTGGTGCCGTCTGCGCCCCCCAGGTGTCGGAGAACCTGCTGAGCCTGTACCTGGATGAGTATGAGGAGACGCCCTGGGACGCCCTCAAGTACCTGATCGCAGGTGTCAACTACGGGGGACACGTGACAGACAGCTGGGACCGGCGCCTGCTCACCACCTACATCAACGACTACTTCTGCGAGCAGAGCTTGGCTGCGCCCTTCTACAAGTACGGGGGCGGGGCCTGCTCAGCGTCAACCTCAACCCCTCCTCCTGCGAGTAGTGTCGGTGCCCGTTCGGCCCACCCACACGCCCTGCGCATAGAGCTGCGCCGGCAATCCGCCCTCAGTCCCTTCTCAACCAGCTTCCGTCTGCCCCAAGCCTCGTTCACACGGCTGGGTCGGTGTCACTCCGGTTGATGCTGGCTTTCCCCTTCGTTTGTTCTGTCCCCATCTGAGGGTTGTTCTGGGCTTTTCGTGATCCTGATCCCCCTTGTCCTTCCCGTCTACCTCTGGATCCTGTTTATGACGGGTTTGGTCACAGAGGCCCCCTTGGCACTGTCATCTGACGTGCTGAGATTACCTCTGAACCCGTTTTCCTGCCAGCTTGGGACTCCAGAACCCTGCCTTGTTGAGCCAGACACGCCTGCCTGCTACAGCCCGCCCCCAACGCTGCAGACTTTAACCAAAAACTGCTCAGCAAGTGCTCCTGTCTCCAGCACCCAGACACCCAGCTCCCAATGGGATCCAACCCCCAAATAAATCCGTTTCACTCTGTATAAAGCAGGGATGCTGAAATCGCCGAGGGGGGGGAGTGTCGTGGGGCACCACTGCAGAGGGGCACCCAAGGGACCCGGCTCAAAGGAGGCAGAGGGCAGTAACAGTGGCGCTTTGAGTTGTACCCCCCTCGTGGGTGCTTCCCTGCCCGCTCCTCTCCTCGGGAGTCTCCTGTGAGGATGGCTCGCCCTGTGCAGGCAGAAATAGCCCAAGTGGGGGGGGCTGGGTGAGCGGGGCTGGGGGGGCCGAGTAGTTGCGAGCCCTGACTCTCCCCGTGCCCTCAGGCTGTCGGTGCTCGACACCTACTACATCCCCAAGGACGGGAACCTGGCCTCCTACCGGGAGTTCATCAGCATGCTGCCCGGCATGGACCTGCCTGAGGCCTTCGGCCAGCACCCCAACGCCGACGTGGCCTCCCAGATCACCGAGGCCAGGACCCTCTTTGAGACCCTACTGTCCCTGCAGCCCCAGATCACGCCCAGCGGGGCCGCCGGGCAGAGCCGCGAGGACAAGGTACCCGGCGGCAGGGGGACCCGGGCTCCGGTGCCACCTGCACTCTAGAGGGGAGGGTCCTGGGTGCTGCAAGCTGGGCCTGGGGGTTTGCTCCCAATCAGGCACCGCCACCGACTCTCCAGGCTGCCTGCAGACTCCGAGAGCCACCCGTGGTTCTGGGGCACGGGGGCTCCATCCCACAGGGATCTCCCCCAGGTCCCGCCCGCGGCTCATGCGCCCCTCGCCCGGCAGGTCCTGGAGCTGTCGGCCGACGTGCTGAGCAAGATCCCACAGGAGCTAGACTACAGGGGCACCCAGAAGGTGCTGGCCGACGACCCTTCGCCCCTCAACGTGGTGCTGCTGCAGGAGATCCAGCGCTACAACGCCCTGCTGCAGGTCATCAGGTCAGCGCCACGACTGCCGGGCCTGTAGGGTGACCAGACAGCAAGTGTGAAAAATCAGGACGGGGGTGGGGGGTAATAGGAGCCTATATAAGAAAATCGGGACTGTCCCTATAAAATCGGGACATCTGGTCACCCTACGGGCCTGAGGGGCACGAGGCTCAACCCTGGCTCGCGTGGCTGGATGGGCCCCGGTCCGGCTTAGCTGTTATCCCCACTCCAGGGACTGCCTTTCCGTGGGGCTGTTCAGTGCGGTAGGGTGAGCCCCTGATCTCGGTCGGGGGGTGTGGGCAGCGCCTTGCACGACGGGCCCCGATCTCGGTCGGGGGGGTGTGGGCAGCGCCTGACACGACGGGCCCCAATCTCGGTCGGGGGGGTGTGGGCAGCGCCTGGCACGACGGGCCCCAATCTCGGTCGGGGGGGTGTGGGCGGCGCCTGGCACGACGGGGCCCCAATCTTGGTCTGGGGCTCTGTGCAGTGCCCAGACTACAGCAAACCCCTGCCCAGCCCTCCTGCAAGTCAGAAAACTGAACGTGGGATCCCGGTGGGTAGCGAGGAACCTCCCAATCCCCGACCGACACTGTCCCGACTCTGGCAGCTCCTTGGCCCAGGGGGCAGCGTTGGGGGCCGGGTCTGGGGACGGCCAAGGGGGACCCCGCCTGACCTGTGCCCTCCCCCTAGGTCCTCGCTGGTGGAGCTGGAGAGGGGCATCCAGGGGCTGGTGGTCATGTCCACCACCTTGGAAGAGATCTTCAACTGCATCTTCGACGCCCGCGTGCCCCCCATGTGGGAGAGGGTAAGGGCGCCCCCGGCCGCCGGGGGAAGAGCTGGAGTTGCTGCCCCATGGGAGTGCCCCCCGCCCTTCCTGGGGGCCCAGAGACTCCCCAGTCCTGCCCTCCCACACGGGTTGGGGGGCCCAGGGGTGTCTGGCTTTGGGGCCACTGGTGGGTCGATTGGGAAGGTTCCTGCCCCCCTGAGCCCAGTGACCCCCCCACATCAAATCTTCAACTGCTGCACGGGTGGTGTGGGCAGGGCTTGGAGAAGCACCACCCCCTTTATCACCCCCAGTCTGAGGAGCCCTTCTGGAGAGTGGGGGAGTGGAGCTAGGACTGGGGGCTTCTGTGTGATTTGTGCCTCCGTTTCCCTGTGTGTGAAAGCCTCCAAGCGCTGGGGGGGCGAGCGATGCTGAGCTGTGCCGTGTGCCCACACCCCCCCCCCCAGCCCCTGTGTTCTGCCCCTCGCAGGCCTACCCCTCGCAGAAGCCGCTGGCCGCCTGGACCCGGGACTTGGGCCAGCGGGTAGAGCAGTTTGCCCGCTGGGCCGAGACGGCGCATCCTCCCGTGCTCTTCTGGCTCTCCGGCTTCACCTTCCCCACTGGGTTCCTGACGGCCGTGCTGCAGGCAGCAGCCCGCCAGAACAACGTGGGTACCTCTGGGGGGGCGGGGCGCCCAGACGCCTGGGTTCTCTCCCCGGCTCTGGGAGGGGAGTGGGGGCTGGTGGGTTAGAGCAGGGGGGCTGGGAGCCAGGACTCCTGGGTTCTCTCCCCGGCTCTGGGAGGGGAGTGGGGACGGGTGGGTTAGAGCAGGGGGGCTGGGAGCCAGGGCTCCTGGGTTCTCTCCCCCGCCCCCGG